GCCGAGGAGCAGGAAGGGTTCTGCCCGGAGGGCGGGCGGGCTGCTTGGAGGAGGTGACCCAACGGCGCTCCGGGTTTCCCCTCTGCTGCCCGGCTCGGGGCCAGGCGCGAGCGCCTGCGAGGAAAAAGGACGCTGCAAGTTGCTGGGAGCCGCCGTCGTGGTGAGCGGCTCGTCGGGCACATACGCGAGGAGGAGGGCTTTTAAAGTGCCGCCTGAGCAGGACCGCCGAGCCGGGAAATGGGGCACCAAGGCAGGGCAAGGCTCCACCAGCAGCAGCCTAGCTTTAGCTGGCTCCAAGCAGCCCACTCCAAGCACCCCACCCGCCCGCCAGGCGGAACCCTTCCCGCTCCTCGGCAGGAAGACGCTCTCGCCTGCAAACTTTGCCTTTGCAAAGTTTAAGCCTGAAAGCCCCGGAAAAAAAAGGGGGATCGGCGGGGACTCACCTTCAGAGAGGTCGCACTCAAAGGTGATTTCGAACTCCCAGCTGAGGCCTTTGCAAAGTTCTTCTTTTCTTTCCTACCCCGAGAGCGCTCCGCACTGTTTTGCAGCTTTGGGGACCACGCAGCGCAGGGCAATACGCCATGCCCACTGATTTTTTTTCAGGGGCGGGCCGGATTGGACAGACCAACGGGCCGGATGCCGCCCGCGGGCCGTAGTTTGCCCACCCCCGCTCTATGTCATTGACTCCAGGAAAGAAGAGATATTTTTTCACTTTTATAGATGACTATTCCAGGTGTACTACTATATCTGTTACACAACAAAATGAAGTAGTAGAGAAACTTAAACAGTATTTGGTTTAAGTAAGCAACAAATTTGGCAAAATACGTCTTGCACATAGACAATAAAACTGAATATGCGGGTGAAAACACACAGGAGATTCTCAGAAACCATGACATAATATTTCAGAGTACTGTACCATTCAAACCCTGAACAAATTGGAGTTGCCAAAAGAAAGAATCATACTCTATGAAAGAACCATGCTGTTTGATGAAGATATGCCAACTACATACTGGGGGAGAGGCAATTATGATTGCATGCTATGTCCAGAATTGATTACCAAGAAAATCAGCTGAGAAAACTGTATATGAATTGTGAAATGAAAAAGCGCCAAATTTAAACCATCTAAAAAATTTTGGAAGCAAAGCTTATGTGCACATCCCAAAAGAAAAGAATATAAAATGGGATGCTTGTTCAAAGGAAAGTGTACTTGTGGGATACAGTAAATCTCAAAAGGGATACATAATCCCACACCAAGACACAAACAAGGTAACCATCAATAGAAGTGCTATTGTTGATGAAATTTAAGTGTATTCAAAGTTTCATGAAGTTATATAAACAAAGCTTCCCCCTGGAAAAAATATACAGACACTCAATTCATCAATAGTGTCTAAAAAAGAAGCACAACCCAGCATTCCTGAGACAGAAATAAAAGTATTCCAGACTTCCCTGGGTAAAAAACAAACAAACTGAATATTGGTAATAGGGGATCCAATTCTTAGGGAAACAGAAACAGACCAGGCAGTCAATCAAGGGAGGGGGGCAGATAGTCTCCTTGGAGCAACAATCAAAGATGTAACTGAGTACCTTATTAAAATAATCAACCCCACAGATTACTACCCCCTTCTTCTCCTACATGTTGAAACCAATGGCGCAAAAATGAATCTGAAAACAATAACAAGAGATTATGAACAGCTAGGGAAGAAAGTTAAAGAATTAAGAGCACAAGGGGTGTTTTCATCTATACTTCCAATAAAAGGTCAACATCCAATGAAGGAACAAAGGATTTTAGAAATGAATCACTGGTTTAAAAACTGGTGTTGTCATCAGAACTTCAGTTTTCTAGACCATGGTCTGCATTATCTAGATGAAGGGCTACTGGTAAGGGGTGAGGGATAGACTGTACCTCAGAAGAACTGGAAATGATATATTCAGAAAACAACCCTCTCCTCTGGGAGCAGCCAATCAAGCTGATGGTGCAACAGTAGTGACTGGGGGTCCAGCAAACCCCCTCAAGTGGCATGCACACCAGGGCCCATTCCAGGTCAGCCTCGAGCTCTGCAACTGGAAAGAAAGGCTCCCCCCCTTGGGGTGGAATTTGATGGAGACCTGCAACAACTAAGATTCTTCATGTACTCACGTACATGCAGGAGTATGGATGGGACTTCCAAACCCAAGGATCCTGGGTGAGAGTCATTACCCTAGCCCTGGAGGGAGCCAATGCCAGGTGGATGGTGACCCTGCATAATGCCAACATGCCAGAATTTCGGAGCTTCAACCATTTCATGATGGCCCTATGACACAGATTTAGGATCCCCTCACCGAACACAAAGCACATGACCGCATTAAAGTTGTAAAACAGGGACGGCAATCAGTGGCAGAGTATACCAAAGAGTTTTGGGACCTCGCACGCCATGTAGACTGGCCAGAGGATATCCTAGTAAGCTGTTTCAAGGAAGGATTGAGTGATGACCTCTGTAATGCCTATGTAGCCTGAGGTGCATCGAACTGCCTACATCACCACTGAAGAAGCTGAGATCAATATGGCCAGAAATCAGTACCGAGCAGGACGAGTGTGGAAGAAATCCCCACCCCAAGGGAAACAGGAGCCATTTAAACTGCAGACCACATTTGCACTGAAGCCTTCAGCCTGTTTCAAGTGTGGAAAGGAAGGGCACTGAGTTGCAGAATGTTGTTCCAAAATACCTGCCTGGAAACCAGAATGCCCGTTGGGGTGGGGAAACCTGTGAAAACAGGCCAGTGCGGGAAGGAAACCACCTTGAGAAGCAGCGAGAACATAGTTTCAATCGCCTCCTTTCCTTGGGAAATGAAACTCCAGCATCTTAGCAGGAGGAACCAAACTCATTTGGAAGTAATCCAGAAGATGAGCCACTGATAAGCAAACCAATTAAGCTGCTTACATTCCCCTTAAGACTATTTATCCTCAGCTATTTATTTCCCCATGGAAATAAAAATCTCCACTTTATTGGACTCAGAGTGCACACACTGTTTAATCAGCCAAGCCCTAGTAGGAAAATTGGGGATTAATTTAAGAACACTGAAAAAACCCATCAAGAACCCAATTAAAGGGGCTGGGGGGCAGAGCACAGAGAAACAGGCATGCCTGAATACACCATGATGACCCAAGGCATACCCAAAGAATACAGGGACCTGGCTGAGGTTTTTAGCAAAAAAAGAACTTCCCCTCCATTGCTCCACTGATTGTGTGATTGAAATTCTACCCAGCACCAAACTGCCTAAGCCCAAGATGTATAGAATGTCCCTACGGAATTGGAAGAACTGAGGGCAGCTTGACCCCTTCCATTCTGGGGCAGCCCCTCAAATATTGGAACACTGCTATCATGTCTCCCCTGGTCCTTCTCTTCACTAAACTAACCATCCCCAGTTCCTGTAACTGTTCTTCATATGTTTTAGTGTCCAGTCCCCTAATCATCTTGGTTGCTCTTCTCTACACTTTTTTTAGAGTCTCAACATCTTTTTTATAGTGTGGTTACAAAAACTGGAGGCAGTATTCTAGGTGTGGTCTTACTAAGGCTTTATAGAGTGGTATTAGTACCTCATTTGATCTTGATTGTATCCAGGGGTGGGATTCTACCAGTTCTGACTGGATCTATAGAACCTCTTGTTAACTTTCTAAGCAGTTTGGAGAACCAGTTGTTAGAAGAAATCTCCTTTTGTTTTTTTCCACCCTTGTTACATTCTTGGAAGTATGCCAAGACTTACTGTCTCCAATGGAGGGTTTTTTTTCCCCTGGTACTTTCTTAAAGGGGGAGGGTTGTTTTAAGCTTTATACACAGTTGTTGGGAGGAAATACTCCCCTGGAAATACTTCCAACCAGCATGCAATGATCAGCACTTTGAAGAAATAATTGAATAATGAAGCAAAGCTGCAGAAAGAAGCTTTTTAGTGACAAGGGACCAAGATGAGTGACATTCAGCAAGGCTTTTTGGCGAGCTAGAAAGATTGACATTCAAATATGAGTTTACATACCCTTTATGAGTT